ACAACTTTTTCCCGGCCAGAAAGCACTTAGTGAAACAATGTTACAGTAATGTTATTTTTTCACAAGCGATGGTGACTTAAAAAGAAAAAATTACCGAACCGCCGCACCGTTTTGGCCTCAGCGTGATCTGATCGCTGTGGGGTCACGAGTCGACGCTTCTGGCCAGCGGTCTATTGAAAGAAATCTGATCCCCTTTTTTTTTTTTTTTTCGGGCGAGAATCATTCATGTCAATGTCCAATGTCTTCCTTTAAGGAAAAAAAGAGAGAGATATTGGAGTACTGTTGCTCCCGAGAACGAGGAACATCTTGGTCCCGAAAACTGAGTTCATTACGCCCAAGAATTACGGTTTTTTTTCTCAAAGGACTAGTATGTGGCGCTATAAAATGTAGCTAACAGATTCAATTCTTGGCACAATGATTAGCCTCGCGTTTAGTATTTTCTTGGACATGAAAATATCGGGGGTGTCGCTATTTGGGGGAATGGTGGACTGACGGAATGACGGAACGGAATGATGGAATACATGGAATATTCTAAAATACGGAATATACGGAATACTCTAAAACGCAGAATAAGAGAAAAATCGTTTAAAAAGGGTATACATGTATACAGTCGACTCCAATGACTCGAACCCTCGCTACTGACTCGAACCTCGTGCTAACTCGAAGTAATACTAGTTTTTGTTTCTCTTCAGATCATTTCTATATAATTTTACCCTCATTCACTCGAACCATGTTTTAAGCGCGTGACAAGTAAAAGAATTGACTTACCGTAATCATTCGATTTAGCGCCCAGGCGCTTATTTACTTTTGGTGCCTCTAGGGAGGACGCTTATTCGGGACAGGGCGCTTATTTCTTTTTGAGAAACAACCAAATGCTAAAAAAAAGAACCTTGATATTTATTTAAAAACGAACAACATTTGAAACTGTAGCAGTAACAAATACTGACGGTGAATGCGCAGTTAACGCGAGGGACTTACCTTGAAACTTGTTGGGCACTTTGTCCTTCCTTATATTCACCTTTCTTAAAAAAGCTCGCAGTCAAAACAAAGTGCAAGTCGATTAAGGTAGTGGATCAAGGAGACTGGAAAACGGACTTGTTGTCCCTGGATCCTTCCGAACGACCAGCCGAGCAATCTCCACAAAATTTGAATAAGAGATCATTCCTTTGAAGACTTTGAAGACTCTGGAAAATCTAAAGCAAGCGACCGGACAAATTTAGGCACAGGTGCGGCCCCCTTTAATTGGTAGTACAATCCTGTCAAGCTTAAGTTTACAATTCTTTTTTTTTAGAACAGCCGTTTTATGAAAGTTATCCGACATTAGATTCCCGTGATACCGGACCCTTCACCCGTCAAGATGGCTTTCAAAACCGTCATAAGGTCTATAGTGTGGCTTACGGCAGTACGAAAATTGAATTTTTAATATTGTCTCTGCTTTTTCGTCAGTCCAGTTCAAATCAAATACAGAATATTCTGTAAATTTCGTGTTTTAGAGAATTACGTATATTCCGTATTTTACAACTGATTGAATGTATTCCGCCATTCCGCCAAATAGGGTCACCCAATTATTGCGGAGGACATCATAAAAAAAATATAGGAGACCGGTAGGACTTTTAAATCGATGAAAGTGCCTCACTCATTTTGCAACTTCATTTTATAATATGCTTCATAATTTGTTTCCACAATAATATTTATGATATTTAGATGATAACCAATGCACAACGCACAACTTGTCACATTACCAATTGGACAGCATACCATGCACTCAAACTCTTGCGCAGGAAAGTTACAGAATGAAATTATTTTTGGTGCACTCAGTCACATTCCTTTACACTGAAACCTTGGCTAAAACGTCTCTTTTTAGATCTGTAGATTTGTAAGGTATTTCGAAATACCCGCACATGTCTTTCAACACTAACATTGAAAGATGAAAGTTTGTTGCTGTGATAATTATGACAAAGATTGTAAACATCAAATATAATTGGATGCTTTAAGCCCAAATATTCTATCACCTCTTTAACGGCATGGAGGACGAAATGGGGGCTTACGGTATTGAGCTTTTTTTCAAGCGGTATTTCGGTATTTTTGGGTATTGCGGTATCATTTAGCTCTGCGGTATGCGGTATTTCTTCCTTTTGGTTAACGGTATTCGGTAAAAGAAGATCCTTCACGGTATTGCGGTACTGTTCATTGCCCTCTCCTGTTTAATGCTAGCCTGCGTAGCAGGCGTTTGGATGACCCCTCGCGTGTCTCCCTCGCGCGCGCCTGTTCTCTCTCGCGCCCACTACTTCCACAGGGTCCAGAGGAGTTTCGTGTGAATAAATGAAACTCACCTTGAGAAATGTCTATACCTGTCGCTTAGCACGATTAATTGGCCCAATGGGATCTTTATAAATCTACTGTAAACGATTTCTTCGCTTCTTATCTGACCCGGATCGACTTTTGAAAATCAATAACCGCAAGCCATATCCTCGCTGGCGCACGGCACATCGCCCGAAGGGCGACTATATAATCTGTAACGAAACTGTAACGCGATCAAAATAACCCATTTTTTCAGAGGTTTTCGACGGGTTCTGATGTTCTAACGACAAACACATCTCCTCTGGACCCTGTGCTACTTCCAAGCGCCTGCTACGCAGTCTAGTTTGATGAACGTCAGTATTTTTAAGACTTTAGATTAATGGTAAACGATTACCATTACACAATTTCTGACAGATAATCTGTGATGAAATTGGTAGGGTATCTTTTCCGTTCGTTGTACCGAACAATTCGAGGTCGTCTCACGTTTCCTCGCAAAATTAAATACCGCGATACCGTGAGAAAAATTGGTAAATACCGAAATAACCGCTGACCCCTACACGCGCTTTAACCCGTAACGTCCGTTGGAATGTATGTAACGAAATACAAGCAGCCCACATTCAAAGTACTTGGAGACTAGCTGAGGCTGAATTCATCATAGCCTGCGTAGCTGGCGGTATTGTGTAGTAGTCGAGTGAGATTTGGCGGCGAAGCCGTCGTAATATATTCGAGTGAGATTTGACGGCGGAGCCGTCACGAGCGGCGAAACCGCGAGAAATACCGCCTGCCAGAGAACCATGATTTTTCGAATGCCGCCCACTTTTTGTCACTTTTGATCTCAGATGCAGTTGTAAAGTGTTCTAATTTTCTTTGACCTTTGTTTCTTACGACTAAATAAAGACAATTCCAGCGCTGTGAAGTTTAAAGACGCCATTTCGGCTATTTGGTCATCAATTTTGCTGTTTTAAAGGGGAAACCACAATCACTTACGTTTTCCAGTTTGCCATCTGCTCCCTTAATTGGGAAATATATGCGAAGGATCATCTAACATGATTGACATATGTATGGCCCTTGACCAATCCGTTTCCCCGCACACTGGTGTGCGGACTATTCAGAATACCGGGGTTTTCTGGCAGGCGGTATTTCAACCGCCTCGTACCTACTCCCTTTTTTTGGAACACGGCTCCGCCGCCAAAACTTTAATCTCGCACCCACACAATAACGCCAGCTACGCAGGCTAAATTCATCATCATTAATAGGAAAAACATAAAACTGTTTCACTTCACGATTTCTGGTGATAGAAAGACTGTTTTTTTTAAACTTATATTTCACGTATTTGTTTGGATCCCGCTGCAGTTCGGACAAATGAATGCTGTCACGCGACAACCTTTCCAAGATTCAACTCTCCTTAGCAGGATGGTAATTTCGAGTTTTCAGGAGTACCCAACGAACATTTTTCGCAAAATTGATTATAAGATGTCGTAAACGCTAGCAAAGTGCTTTTACGTCAACCTGTGTTAATATTTAACTTTCCTGGGAAAAAAATACCCGCTCTTCACTGCTAGCCAGCAAGACTTTCAGAAAATAAAAATCCCAGCCAGCAATCATGTTTGACGGTTTTTTGCCAGCCAGCAAGGTTAAAAAAAAAAAATTACGCAATCCCAGCCAGAGTGAAACGGAATTCGGTGTTTGCCAGCCAGCGGTAGCAGAAGTAAGTTATGAGCCAGCAAAGTTTCATTTAACACATTGCCAAGAAAAACATGTAAGTCAGTAGGCAAGATCTGTTTTACGTCAAATTGACATAATGTAAAAGAAAAGCGTGTTTAACCTGTTTCACCCTTTTATCTAGGTGTCGTTTTTTTTTTCTTGAGATATAGGGAAAAGATCATTGTATTTTTTTAGTATATGTTATTCCCTATCCCTAAGTATTACATAACAATAACATAACAACTAAAGACATTCAGCGGTACTTACAGTTTTGGAATGTGGACTTGAGGAGTAGCCTTGAGTTTTTGCCAGGTAAACGATAAAAAGGAAGATCCCGAACATTGTCCATAACACAATAACACGTAAAAAAAGTGATCACCGCAAAGCCTTAAGACCAATGCATTTTTTCCAACGATAATCAACTGAGCCGAAATAAAGTTTAAGAATAAACAACATAACGAGTAAGCTCGATCTACGTGTGGTCTCCTCTGCAAAATCACACCAAATTCAGTGTAGACACATGCTTATCGCCAGCATTGTATGCCGTGCCTACTGTTACTCCGCAAAAAGTTTACACCAGAACTGATAGAAAGTTTCGAGTAAACAGGCTTTCCGTCGGAAACTTCTAACCGCTACGGCTGAAAACCACGAATCTACAAAGTAAGGTAACGTTTGCGGTCTTTAACTCGAGTTTCAACGTGGGGAGGATGGTTTCCTCTTTCGTCATTTACGTAAACGCCTGACAGCAAACAAGGGCCTTTCTGTTGCGGTATAAAAAACAATACTGTCCATGTTTTAAAATATGCTATGGCAACAGTTTACTTTTTAAAGCCAGACTGATAACGTGTTCTTGTAGTATTTTTCTCCGCACTAGTGAGGGCTTGTCATCCTGAGTTTGATCTTACTCACTGATTTTTTCTGTAGTCAAGAAGCCATAATGGTATGTCGTCAGACAATCACCACAAAAGTTTCGCAGCAAAAGCCAGTAGACGTAGGTAGTCAGTCAGGTAATCACCGTAAAAGTTTCACACCAGAACTGGTGCAAAGTTTCGCAGCAGAAGCCAGTAGTCGTACGTGGTCAATCAGGCAATCACCGTAAAAGTTTCACACCAGAACTGGTGCAAAGTTTCGCAGCAAAAGCCAATAGTCGTAGGTAGTCAGTCAGGCAATCACCGTAAAAGTTTTACACGAGAACTGGTGCAAAGTTTCGCAGCAAAAGCCAGTAGTCGTAGGTAGTCAGTCAGGCAATCACCGTAAAAGTTTCACACCAGAACTGGTGAAAAGTTTCTCAGCAAAAGCCAGTAGTCGTAGGTAGTCAGTCAGGCAATCACCGTAAAAGTTTCACACCAGAACTGGTGCAAAGTTTCGCAGCAAAAGCCAATAGTCGTATGTAAGTCAGGAATGTTTTGTTTTGCAGTCAGACAATCACCTATAAAGGCATATAACCTTATGTCGTGCATGCGATGGTCGTGTGACGTCTATAAGTTATAGAATCGAAGCGCAGTTGAAACAAATGTAAGTAAGATCACACCAAGGAAGGCAAGCTTTTTTTTGCTTTGGGTACAGAGAGACCCACCAAAGTAAAATACATGCAACAATACCTTTATCAGTTTGTTTGAAGCGACCGTCATAGTAAATTTGCGAACAACAACAGTACTTCAGTTTTAATACAGCTACAGAAAAATTCTTGTAGTTTTTGGCAATAAGATAAGCTTAGGTGAAACCTTCTTCGGTACGTTTAAAAATCGAGTTGAAGACGGCAAACGTGACGTAACTACGTCCTACTGCATATCTCGCGCTTCGCGCTTGCGCCTCTAAACAACCCTAAGCACCTTAATGACGCCTTTTGCGCAGGCTACGGTTGAGTTGTAAGGGCGATTATTCTGTAGAAAGCAATAACTTCATGATAACCAGAAGAAAATAAAAATTCCAAAGAAAAATATCCTGTTCTTCAGGACAAATGGTTAAAAAAAGAACAACCTAGTTGTCTATTAATTTGTTTATTCAATAGTCCAGTTTAAACCCTGCTTGCGGCAATTTTAGGAAAATGTGTAAATACTGTTCACATTTGTAATTTTCTCTCATTTTTTGGCAAGAAAATTGTAAACTATTTTTTATTCTTTTTTTCTACATTGGCCAAAGAGCCTCTCAAACGTAACCATGGCCGGTAACGCCCGCTGTCAAATTTGAGGTCCTACAACCGGGAAACATCACCAAAAAAGCGTAATCTGAGTCACTGTGTTCGAAGATATGAATAAATCTGCTAACAGAGCTCTTACAATTTATACGATAAAAAGCTTTAAGAGCAAGAAATGCCTCAGCGTCAAAACAGATACTGGTATGAAAGTCAAAGAATGATAGCCGTTCGGGATTTACCCCGCTATACTACAATTTACTACACAGACGTTAGCATTAAAATGCAACGGCACAATTGGATGTTGCCTTTTTTAAAAACAACAGTTACTATAACGGACGCGAAATACGTCAATATACGGGTAGTATCCTAACAGATACCTGTGCAGTTGCTAAACGCCTTCCAAATGACCATAGATCGAGGAGGTTTCCCGTCCCGGTGAGCACATAACAATTAAAAGAGAAATCAGTTCTGAGTTCACTCCGCTAAGAGACCAGAGTGTATTATTTATTGGAGAGAGTTTTTGTATTCAATCGTCTCAATATTTAATGGCATTTATGTGCATTAGCGAATGTTATTAATTCGATACACATGCACGGCAACCTGACAAAGAAACACAACCATTTTGCTTACCTTTTGGCCACCTTAGCATCAGGTTTAAAGTAGAACGTAGGCCAGTAGCTGATATGTAGACAGGCATTTTAAAACACGAACACACAAAAGTGTTTTCTATAAAGGATCGACAGCGAAACGACTAAAAACAAAGCGGCATGTTAATATTTAACTTTCCTGGGAAAAAAATACCCGCTCTTCACTGCTAGCCAGCAAGACTTTCAGAAAATAAAAATCCCAGCCAGCAATCATGTTTGACGGTTTTTTGCCAGCCAGCAAGGTTAAAAAAAAAAAATTACGCAATCCCAGCCAGAGTGAAACGGAATTCGGTGTTTGCCAGCCAGCGGTAGCAGAAGTAAGTTATGAGCCAGCAAAGTTTCATTTAACACATTGCCAAGAAAAACATGTAAGTCAGTAGGCAAGATCTGTTTTACGTCAAATTGACATAATGTAAAAGAAAAGCGTGTTTAACCTGTTTCACCCTTTTATCTAGGTGTCGTTTTTTTTTTCTTGAGATATAGGGAAAAGATCATTGTATTTTTTTAGTATATGTTATTCCCTATCCCTAAGTATTACATAACAATAACATAACAACTAAAGACATTCAGCGGTACTTACAGTTTTGGAATGTGGACTTGAGGAGTAGCCTTGAGTTTTTGCCAGGTAAACGATAAAAAGGAAGATCCCGAACATTGTCCATAACACAATAACACGTAAAAAAAGTGATCACCGCAAAGCCTTAAGACCAATGCATTTTTTCCAACGATAATCAACTGAGCCGAAATAAAGTTTAAGAATAAACAACATAACGAGTAAGCTCGATCTACGTGTGGTCTCCTCTGCAAAATCACACCAAATTCAGTGTAGACACATGCTTATCGCCAGCATTGTATGCCGTGCCTACTGTTACTCCGCAAAAAGTTTACACCAGAACTGATAGAAAGTTTCGAGTAAACAGGCTTTCCGTCGGAAACTTCTAACCGCTACGGCTGAAAACCACGAATCTACAAAGTAAGGTAACGTTTGCGGTCTTTAACTCGAGTTTCAACGTGGGGAGGATGGTTTCCTCTTTCGTCATTTACGTAAACGCCTGACAGCAAACAAGGGCCTTTCTGTTGCGGTATAAAAAACAATACTGTCCATGTTTTAAAATATGCTATGGCAACAGTTTACTTTTTAAAGCCAGACTGATAACGTGTTCTTGTAGTATTTTTCTCCGCACTAGTGAGGGCTTGTCATCCTGAGTTTGATCTTACTCACTGATTTTTTCTGTAGTCAAGAAGCCATAATGGTATGTCGTCAGACAATCACCACAAAAGTTTCGCAGCAAAAGCCAGTAGTCGTAGGTAGTCAGTCAGGTAATCACCGTAAAAGTTTCACACCAGAACTGGTGCAAAGTTTCGCAGCAAAAGCCAGTACTCGTAAGTAGTCAGTCGGGCAATCACCGTAAAAGTTTCACACCAGAACTGGTGCAAAGTTTCGCAGCANAAACTGAAACAAAAGAAATTCATTTTTGAATAGTATTCGGTAACCTCTACTTGGGAGATAAAAATCGGCCGATTTTATTTTTTAGCCGGAAATCATCGGTCGTTTCTTAGGCGCATGGCCTCTTAAAGAGGGGGACAAAGACAAGAAGGGCGACCAGCTCGGAATGTTCCACTATGGTGGTTCCACGCACTGTCTTATATTTCAACCTGAAGTAAACATCGAGTTTGATAATCGTGGTCAAACACCAGGTCTGGATACCGACAATATTCCAGTTAGAGCTAAGATTGCGACCGTTTATCCAGCACAAGACAAGAAGAAAAGGTTATAAAGAAAAATAGCTGAACTTGGAATTTGGAGTTTACTTGACCTTGATGTCATTGTTTTTCTAGAATATTAAAGCGGTCACAGGACCATAATTGTATTTGAACCATTTTTCCATGGTTATTTTTGACCTGTGCGATGCAAATTTTTTGATCAGGCGCATGCAGGCAACTGAGTTCTTGAGTCCGTATTTTGTATGGAAATTACCAATTATGCTATGTTTCCATGTACAGTGTAAGAAATGAGAGAGGTAAACGTTAGTTCACATTCTACACATTATTATTACTTAGGTGCTGCTTTGTGCATGGCGAGTAGAAGTAAAAAAAAAACTTCAGTCTGATAATTAAAACGGACTTCCCTGAGGTATTTCATTTTTTTTTTTCGTATTTAGATAATTTTTATTTTATTTTATGCGGACTCATTTTTAACGTCGAACTTCAAATGTGCCGCTAATGGAAAAATCTATTGTTCTCCCTCATTTACTTCAGATTCAGCAGATGAGTAGCCTGCTCCGGGCGTTCAGGTTGTAAAGCGCCGCGGTCAGATGGTGGGGAGCGAGTGAAATTGTACACTCCTGGAACACGCTGGCACATGTGAAACAGCTGGGAAATCTAGGAAGTTGCAATATAAGGTAAAATATATCATGTGAAGTCCAATGGGATATTTATTTTCAAATAAATATCCGACACAAAAACCTAGCAGTTACCATGCAATTTGTCAAGCACGAGACGCGTTGTCTCTTATTAGCATCACTCATAGGAGGTGATGTGGACCTTTCTTCCAAAAAAATCATTTTTTAAAAACTTTCATTGAAACACAAATATGGTTTCATGGATCGAATTATCATGCTGAATTTTAGTGAGACTGCCAAGTCTTAGTTTCCTAGATATCCGTTGCAAACTGACGAAAACATGAGGCTCAAGCATATGAATACCAGGGTAATATACTAATTTCCCAGCGTATATATTTCTTTGTGAAGGTTCAAGGTCTATTTTTTCAAAACTTTTTCGGATTCACTAAATTTAGTATGATAAATTGATGTGCTTGTTTAACCAAAAAAAAACCCTTAAAATTTGCCATTTGACCTTGACAGTGGGAAAAAAATAATGGATAGAGAGATCACATTCTCAGACAAGCAGGCACCTGTATCCTAAATTGGTCTATTTAGGCAGATAACTAGAACCGAAGATGTTTCGGAAGTTTAGTCAACTTTAGTAGGAATTTGAGCAAGGAACTCAAAACGTTATGATGTCGATACTCGTTAAAGAGCCAACTGCTAAAGCTCAAGAACGGTTCCGTATTGAATAATAATAATAATAATAATAAACTTAGAGATTTTGCATGTTTTTCGAGCTATATTACCCGTGCCCTTTTGATCGACGGTACGGGACGCCCTAACCGTGGGGAGCTTTAATTAGACAAGCCAAACAAATAATGACACAAATACAATGGACAGTCTTTTTGCAGATGCCCTGACTGGTTTTTTAAAGGATGATCTCTCTCTAACAAATTTTGTTAAACTTATAGAAGATTATGGAACTTGCTCTGGCCTAAAGGTTAACCACGAAAAGGCAGTGCTTTTGCTGATAAGTAAGCTGGCCGGTACCGTACAAGAAACCGCTCCGAACAACGTAAAAATTAAAGGAACAGTATCCCGTTACTGCGCATGCACCAAACTTTGATTTTTGGACAGGATGTTGCGAAATCAAAAGATGCGAGGAGAGTAAGAGAATCTTTAAAAATCCGTTTGCATCGCGCTTGGCCTGGTTCAATACGACACTAAAACTTCTCAGGATTATAGATCAATGATATATTGTTCCTGTTAAGTTTCTATTTGGGCAAAATCTGGATTTTTTGGCGTTACTTTTATTGCCGTTGGCCGGAGGACCAAAAGACTGGAAGCACTTTGATGCCGATTGAAGGCTTATTTCTTCTGCTAGCTTCCATACAAGCTCAGATAATTGTGAAAGGAATACGCAGAAATGAAACAGCAACAATAAAGATTGTAAGAAAGAAACCGTTGAGACATCGATGTGACTGAGGAGATCTTGTGGAGGGGAGATCCGTGAAGCAGAATGTTTTGCAACGACGCATTAGTAAACTTTTAAATGAATCTCCCTACTGCCGACAAAATCGAACAAACAGGCGCTACACGTTTTGAAAAACTAGTGACATGAATCATAATATCATTCTTGACTAACCTTTGTGATGATTCATAGCGTTGAGATTGCATTTTTATTTATGTCTTTCAAACGTTTGAGGCTAGAACGCGAGCAAATCAAGCAGATATTACTGGACTTGGGGCGATTGACCTCTGACACGAGTTTCAAATTAGAAAATATGTTTTTAAAGCGAGCGGAACGAGATTTTCGGGTCGCGAGGCGGCCCAGCTAACGATAAAATCGCGATGAGTCTTCGAACCGCGAGCCAAATTTTTATATAAGACGAAAGACTTCTTCGAAAGTGAGAATATAAACAACAAATCTCTTTCGGAGGTCCGGTCCGGAAGGAAATCTTGTCGAGTCAATTTGACAGTTCTATTGTCTTTTGAAGAAAAAACAGATGACGCTCGCGCGTGCGCATAATAGGGACACTGTCCCTTTAAACGATCAGTTAAAATCTTTTAGGAGTACATTTTACCTATGACATTCGCGCGAAACAAAAGCTAAACATCAATGAATTAATCAGCTCCATTCAACTTAAGGTACGAATCTGGAGGTGGAGAGATCTGACTATCATAGGGAGAATTCAAATTATCAAAACCTTTTTTTATCCCTATCTTCTTATATCGCACGAGCTTGATATTATTGGATAAAGAATTTGTGAAAGAAGCAAACAAAATTATATTTGATTTTATCTTGAAAGGAAAGGATAAAGTTAAAGGGCTTATGGAAAAGCAGGAATCCGGAATCCGGAACCGGAGCCGGAAACAGAAATGGAACCGGAAACGGAACTTAAATTGAGACCAGGGTAAACTGGGAAGCACTGAAACCAGTTCCCGATACCCGTGTGGGAATAAAATTCAAGATGGCGTCCTCTGTTATCATTGTTTTGAAAAATTTTCAGCACAGTGATCGTGATACCAAAGGTATACTCACATTAGGAAAGTGACTTGCAAAAAAAAAGGTAAGTGCATCCTACTGTTTTTCCTAGCAGTCATAAACTGTGACTGCAGCTGTAGGTCGAGCAATTTTCGACAGATCGAGATTACAACTAATCAGAAGCGGATTGACTGCGAAAAACAGCCATTATTACTATGTGATGTTTAAGACCGCTGTGTTATTCATTTCCTTCTCTTGAGCCTAAGTTACTCATTTCTTAAAAGGGCTCCGTGTTACATCCATTGTGAGGGAAAGGCAGCAAAGGGAGGAGGAGTACTCATGTCAATCATGATCCCATGTTGCAACGCTCATGCGTATATGAAATTCGCGAAGAAAAATTTTGCGCCGTAGGCAAAAAATGCGACAGTAAGAAATATAATAACAATAAATAAATATAATGTGGGGATGAAAAGTCTTGATCGAGCAATAATTGTTAGTGACACTCTTAAGACAGAAAAGTCTCCAAGTTTTAATTCTTAGGTTCGGGTTCCTGTTCCGGTTCCGGTTCCGGTTCCGTTTCCGTTTCCGTTTCCGTTTCCGGCTCCGGCTCCGGCTCCGGCTCCGGCTCCGGATTCCGGATTCCGGATTCCGGCTATTCCATACGCCCAAGTTAAACGCTCTGCACTTATTAGTGACATCGAAGATGGAGGACTTAAAGCCCCACATTTAAATTCCCTAATTGAAACACAAAGAATACTTTGCTACAAGAAATTGGCAATTTATCAACCGAGTGGATGGAAAACAATCCTTTTGCATTATCTGAAACCTGCTGGTGGTAAATTAGTCTTATGTTGTGACTTTGATTTGAAGAAATTGCCTATCAAATTACCAGCCTTTTATGAAGAATGCTTAAAATTTTATGCAAAGTGCTCTGCGGTAAATAATTTGAATATACAGGATTTAAATGGACAAGACCTGTCAAAAGTTATCCGATGGAACAACAAATTTAGTCGTATTGGTGACAAGTCTGTATATGTTCGAAATCTCGCTGAGAAAGGGATCCTTCTCGAATAAAAATGAACTTATAATCAAAAGCAAGTTGAGGGTCTTGCACCTTTCGCCGTTGGATGCCTTAAGGCTTGTTTCTTTAAGAGACGCTCTACCAACTCAGTGGCGTGAATCGTTGAAATACTGCATCTCTACAAGTGACGCAATATTCAATTTGCATGATGAGATTAAGTTACGCTTAAGTGGTCAAATTGTTTTACTTTAAAAAGCGTATTCGAACATTGTTTATAAAGAACTTCGAAAAAGAATCGTCACTCCACCAAGTGTTAATAAAAGTAAAGTTCAATGCTCATTTTGTTAATAACACTTTGAATTGAAAAAAAAATTATCGCTTGCCATATCGTGTTGCCTTGGATACAAAGACTTGCGAATTTCAGTATAAATTGTTAAACAGATGGCTTGTGACAAATAACTTCGTATGTAAAATTGGTATTATACCATCTCCAACGTGCTCCTTATGTGGTGAATTGGATGAATCCCTCGAACATCTTTTCCTGTCTTGTCATTTACTAAGAATTTCTGGTCTGAGGTTATAAAATGGCTTGTTGATCATAAGGTCAAGATTGAAAATCTTTCAGACAAAGATATACTGTTTGGTATTAT